AATGGGCTGTAAAACTGCATACTTAGATCTTTTTATACAAATTCTTAATAAAAAGTTTGTTGTAAAATTTGAATTTTTCTATTATGTATTATTATTCTAATTGTTCTTCCAAGTTTGAAATTTGGACTTATATATTTTAGTTAGATAATGATCTGTATTTTTATAAAAAAAATAAACAATAAAAAAAATAGGCAAAACTGGTGAAAATATCGCGTCCCTATTATTTTTCACATGACGATATCGTGCCCTAAAATGCAAAAAGACGTAACAAACATCGTCACTAAAATGGAAAAAGTCGTGACTAATATTCTTTTTTCATAAACCGATGTGGGGAGTTGTAATTAATGAAATCCATCATGCCAATCAAAAATTGAATATTGAATTTCTTATGAGTTACGACGTTTTGCAATTCAGCCTCAATGTTGTTATGTCTTTTTGCATTTCAGGCGTTGATGTGCCTGAGCTACTTACAAATATATGCTATAGCTACAACTACAACAGATACAATAACACATAAATTTCAATAAAAAAAAGATAAACAACTAAGAAGATAGACTTACTAATGTACAACAAACAAACAAACTGCACTTACATGCATACAAACAAAAGTAATAAAATAATGTGAATAATGATGTATTATCATTGCTGAACTACTTACATGCGGCGAACTATTTGTAGCGTTGTTTAGCATGACTTGAATTTTATGCAAATTCTTTCTTAGACTTTAATCGAATTGAAGTTTAATTATGGTGGTGAAGTGGTGGTGGTGGTGGTGGGATTGATTGGTGGTAACTATAACTTTGGATCAATTTAGTTCTTTTGATTTTGAGGTTTTTTTCTTCTACAATTTTTTCGCAAAATTATGTAGTTGGTATTTTTAAGTATACATTTATTGCAACGGTATACAGTAATTTCAATGTTGTGTGTAGTTGAAAAGAACTTTTGCTTAGTTTATGTTTTTTTTTTTAATTTCTTTTAATTTAGTGATTTTCTTGCAATCGGTAAAATTTAATTGTTGCCTGGTATTTTGCTCGTATTGTAGTTTAGCGCGCCTAAAATGATAAATATTTACAAAAACAGATGAAAAAATTAAAATTAAGAAAATTTAAAGAATAAATATAAGATATCTTTTAATGTTAATACATGTGTTTCCTATGTATGTTTGGATGTACATATATAACTACAAAATAGCATAAAAGGACGTAAATATGTATGCACTATGTACAGGTCCATTTCAAAGTCAAATTGGACCGATTATTTCAATACTAAAATGTATGCATAATCTGAACAATATGTCCGTGTGTAGGTGCCAGTAAACAATGGTCGATGGCTGGAAGGAAACGCGGCTAATAAAGTAATTTAAAATCTTCTAAGAACAGGAAAAGCATAAAAGTACACATAATTTAGTTTGTTAGTGTAACAGACAAATTTGGTGGTTGCGACTGTATACATATGTAAATATGTACACAAGTTTTTCCTTGATTTGTACTGATGAATATTAAACAGTCGGCACACTTTTCATTTTTTTCATCCTGCCAATATATCCAAAGCTTGTTCTATTTCAACAATTGCAAGGCTGGAAATGCCGCAATGTGCTTTTCATTTAACATTTTCATACCACAACATTGCATTGTTGCAAATTAGTGTCGTTATTGACGTAACAACTCAAAACGCAGCTTGACGAAGAGGATTCTGCAGGCATCTGGCCGGCCTCATACATTAGCCAACAACAAAGCTATGAGCGCCACCAGAGCCCGTTGGCCAACCGACCAACCACCGACCGATTAGGTACTCGACAGATGTAGCGCACGGTAGGTACATACATGTAAAAGCCAGAATGGAACGAAAACAAAAAATCGATAATGACTGCCTCGCGCTGATATTCGCACTTTTCCATGCGCAGTCCAGTATACCAGCGCAAAATCAGCGCCGCGATTTTGACGCAAAGAAAAAGCGTTCAATAATTAGTAAAGAGCAAAGGATACATATGTATGTACTTATTTAATTAAACAATTTTCTTTTTCTATTCCGAAATACCTATCAGTTAATCTTACATACATACAATGATAGATAGGGGCACGTTGAGTATTTTGCTAATGCAGTACAGGGTCGGATCGTTTGTGTTTTTATAAATTGGCAAATGTTTAGTACATTGCATATATTCTTACCTTAGTACATGCGTAGTAAAAGTTTATGCGGATTTATTTAAGGTATATTTATTGATTTCACACGTTCAGCAAGTCAATAATGCAAAGAACCTCTTTTGTTTACAGCTTCACCAAGTTCTGAACTTCTGCTCTTTGCACAACGCCACGAAATTTGTGCCCACAAGCACTACACTTCGAAATTACAAGGGCTGCAATGGCTTTTCCCCAACACTTTTTGCCTTAGTACTTGATGTGTTTTGTAATCTCTAACGCTGCAAAGTTAGCGCCGATGCTGCTTAGAATGGCAGATAATCCAAATGTTTGCAGTTTCACAATAACTTTTTAGTTATCAATAGTAAATTTTATTTTTATTATTGAAGAAAAAACGGAGCCGCGGTCCGTGCACACAACCGAATTTACCCAATTTTCATATCGAATTGTCATCAAAAAGATGCAATTTACCTCCACAAAATTCTTGCCGCCAAATACAATCCACAACAACTCGCGTTCCATTTGGGACTTTTTTTTCAATTTGTTTTGAACTCATTCTGCCCAGGGTTGCATTGGTTAAGAGACCACTTAATCGGACATGGATTTGCCTTAAATTAAAATTAAATTAAAAATATATATTTTATAAATAAATTAGAGCTCTTCAAAACTTTCTGCAAATGCCAGAAATATAAATGTTTTATTCTTTTGAAAAAAAATGTTTATTTAAATACTTGTGCTGTTATGTCACCCTGTGGGATGTAAGTGACACATCTGAATTGGCAGACAGCTGATTATTTGACACGCATCAAAAAAGCACAAAAAGAAAACAGATCTGTGGTTTATTCGCTTTGAGGGAATTTTATAAATATTTTGCAATCCTGTATAACACGAATAAATTCATAATGAAGGGGCAACCTACGAAGGATGTAACGCAGTTAATTCATGAAATAAAAGTCGGGTATGTGTTTAAAAGAAATTAATTATTCGTTGCTAGCATACATTGTTTACTGATTCCAGGAACGTGGAAGGCTCTTACAACATTACAACAAAAACATTGAAATTATTTAAGAAAATTATCAATGGTCTTGGATGGGCGCATGCAGAGTAAGTCATGTAAAAAATATACAAAAAATAATCACGATAACCAACGTGCTTCCATGGCAATCAGTGAACTCATGAACATAGTGCGTACGCAAGGACATATTCTGCAATCCGCAATGCCGCAGGAGACTGTAACCGCCAATATTGCTCGTCGCATTCTGAAGCTGATACGTGAGGAGTTCGACTTACTGCAAGCAAAGGTTTAACTATTTGATTACAGCGAATATGGCAATCATCACTATTGCATCTTTTTAAGGTACACCAATTCACAGATGATCAAGCGTCCATGTCACTGCACAAACTGGTTACACAAACGAGCAATGATGTTAGCGTCGATTACACGAAACCACAACAGGGGTTACGTGAGGCACTGCTGGATCATTTGCAAGAAATCGAGACAGAATTGGAAACAAGTTCAGAAAATATTTGCGCGCAAGCTGAAGAGCATATACACTCCTCAGAGGTTATACTAACTTTAGGGCACTCGCGTAGTGTTGAAAATTTCCTTAAACGTGCTGTGAAGAAACGCCAATTCTTGACTATCATCATAGCTGAGTGTGCGCCCGATTGCAGAGTATGTCAACTAAAGAAATATAGCCTTTATAAATCTTAAGCATTCCCATAATTTTAGGGTCACAATTTGGCAGCGAGCTTGGCAAACGGTAACGCAGAGATAATCGTTATACCAGACTCTGCCATTTTTGCAATGATGTCGCGCGTCAACAAAGTCATCATTGGTACACATAGTGTACTTGCTAATGGAGGGCTGCGTGCGGCTTGTGGTTCATATACGGTTGCTCTATCTGCTAAACATTATTCAGTACCGGTTATTGTACTGTCGCCTATGTACAAATTGTCGCCGGTACATTTGTGCTCATTGGAGCAAGACGCATTCAATTTGGTAGGCTGCGCGGAAGATGTTATCGGATACGACTCGCTGGCTTCTCACTCTGCTAAAGTATACAGTCCCATATTTGATTACGTACCACCAGAGCTTGTAACGTTGTTCATTTCAAATATGTAAGTTTAGGGTTTTAATGTGATACTATCTTTCATTGGAAAACTATGAATTTTCTTTTGTCGTTTTTTTTTCAGAGGTGGCCATGCACCGTCATATGTGTACCGGCTATTGACTGAACTCTACAATCCAGAAGATTATGAGATTTAAAGAACAGCGCCACTATTTTTAAACTTCCACACCCTAAAAATTCTAGCCTAAGCATTTCAAGCTTTCGCAATAAGTAAAGCACACAAAGTAAAGTATAAACAAGTGAAATGGAAAAAGATAGATGAATGAGAAACGAAATGACTAGCCGATTATATTACTTTTATGCACGTTTGCAAAGACGCTGTTGCTTTGACTTTATAGTATGCTTTCGTTAGCGATTTTAAATACCACGTTTCTCCGCGGCTGTTGTCTACCAATCGTCTAATCCAATTACTGAACACAGACCGCAAAAATGTTGCTCACAATACATGCCTATACTCCCCCTGTTTCCTGTTCAATTTCCTATGGAAAGCGTACTTTGAAATTAGTTTGATGAACACCTTTTATTTTAGCGCACTGCGTTTCAGTACAATTGTCACATGTCATTCAATCACATTTGCTTTTAATTATTCTTCAATGCAAATTATCACAGTTTTCGGAAGGCAAAGACCTATAAAGAACCTCTGTGCTCATGACACTCGCGGTTATTGTTGAAAAAAAATTGCGACTTTGTTCTTAGGAAAGTGAAAAAATACAACGTAAAATTACACTAAAATCAACTTTTTTAATTAAAATTATAATTTTGTGTATATTCTTAAGAATGAATAAGTACATACATATGTATGTGTGCGAAGTGTGAATTTATACCTCAAAGAAATATAGTGAATTTTAAATTATCACAAGTTAAGTCGCCGTTGATCAACGAAGCGTACAAAAGTTTTGCTTTTGCCAAATCTATTAATCTTAGTTGGGTTGGTAGTTTCCAACAAATTCTTTGGGAATAAATCCGTTTTAGCTAGTAATTCATACATTGGGCCGTATGCATAAGAACTTAGCAAATGCTTTTTTCTTAAAATTACATACCTTTCACTTTAATCGGAAATTTTAAGAAAAAGCATTTGCTGAGGTTCTATGCATACGGCCCAACATCAAATACATACATGCGGACATATGAATGTATATACGTACTTATGTAATTTTGTAGGTACATACATACTTATGAACATGGTATGGGAGGTATTGTTACTTAATTTAGGTAATTTGTTGTAAGCAAAAAATTGTTTTATGAAATCAAAAGATGATGACTTGACTGTGATGTATGTTTGTGGTACGCTTAGTTAAGTTATTTTGAAGGATAGTAAGTACCAAAGTGAAATAATTTTTTCACTATGGGAAGTACTGAATGTAAATATGTTTCACAATACATATATGCAACAAATTTTTATTTTAATATTTTTCCAACAATTTGTTATAAAAATATGGTTCATTCAACAACAAAAAACATAAAAATATAATTCCTAAACTTTGTGCAAAACTCCCGAAAATTCAGCAAATTTTCATCAAAATTTTCAACTTTGATCAAATTTTTTAGAATTTTTTTGAGTATGCAGTATTGCAGCCCATTAAATTCTAGTAAAAAAATGCATTTTTTCCTTATAAAGTATTTTCGAAAAAAAATTTTTTGTATGGAAGAGACTGCGTGAAAAAAAAATTGTTAAAAATCAGCGGTAATTCCTAGCCACTTAAAAATTGCACTTAATAAATTTGATTGGGTTACAAATCTGCATACTCAAAAAAATCTAAAAAATCTGTTTAAAAAGTTGAAAGTTTTCATGAAAATTTGCTGAATTTTCGCGAATTTGGAAAAAAGTTTAGGTATTATATTTTTATGTTTTTTGTTGTAGAATGAACCATATTTTTATACGAAATTAGCGAAAAAATATTAGAATGAAAATTGTTGCATATATTGTGAAAAATTTGCGGTGCCAATACTTTGTTCCGTCAGTGTATGTCTGTACATTTATTATCTTCTGAGAAAGAATCTTTGTAAACATTTTGTTAAAGCTCTATAATCGCTACTCATTTATGAAAAGCGGTCAAAAATTCTCTAGAAGGACATAGGGAAAATAATCAGTGAATATTAGTTACCAAAGGATGTAATATTTCAGGAACTTTGGAAGAAACATTTCTCTATTAATGGGGTATAGTAAAGCTTCTCGGTATGCAGTTACCCTTGCTTGACTTTACTCAATTCCTACTCTAGATAAGATAGAAAACCTCACCTGTCCTTCGCCCGGTCGATCTAAAGCATTCCCTATCAGGTATTTCAACTTGGAGGTAAGGCAACTACTAAACCACCATAGGTCACCCCCATGACTGCCGCTTACACGTACCGGAATGACTCGGGTTTTACTCTACCAAGGGCGATTGTTTTGGCGATCTAACCCGGTGCTCGGTGTGACTGTCTAGAATATGCCGTAACGTGACATCAGTCAAGTGCAATTCCTGCCTTGGCTGGTGCCATTTTAGGGCAGGTTCCGGACTGCGCATTACGCGGAATTGGACTATGTGGGCCCCTGCTGGGCTGCTTAGTCGCAAACCTCCCCGCGACGCCGACCGGGGATACCATCCTAGGATGCCAGGGTGTTGCTATACGGTCAGGCGATGTTGAGCTCGAAATATTTAACATATATATACCGTCTGTCACCAGCTGGCCGGCAGGATATCACCCTGAAATAGGTCCGCTCCTCAGAAGTGAAAACCGAATGGTAGTCGGTGACTTTAACGCGCACCACGATCTTTGGCATTCAAGCCTATCGAATGGTCGTAACGGACCACACTTGGCTGAGCAGATAGAACTTTCAACATTCTGCACAATGAAAGACCATGCACCCACCAGGATTATGGTGGCCTATGCTGACATTAGCGTGAGACCATCTGCTCATAGTCATCTCTATTGATAAACCTGCCGACTTTGCTTCCGCGGAACACCGAACCTACGTCAACTTTTCCAAAGCTGATTAAAATGGCTTAGCTGAAGCTACTGAAAGCACCTTCTCTGCCCTCCCTGCAGCCCTCTTCCGAAGCGGCTGTCCTAGCTGTTAAGCGTGACAACCTTCGTCAGACCGATCCTGGAAATCCCCGCGCTAGGGATCTCAACATGGAGTTTCGGCTACTTGTGAACGTAAATAAACGGAAGAAGTGGGAAGGGTATCTGAAGACCTGTAACTTCGCCTCAACCGAAGCGTGACGACAGAGTCGAAATCTCTTTTGGCATCCTCCGGCAGACAGAGTCAAGCGTCGATTGGCCAGAAGGCTACACAATCTGCCAACTCCTAGTGCGCCTCTTGTTTTCACAAGCGGTGAAGTACGGTTAATCATCGGAAAGGCGAAAGACTCCAAATCCATAGGTCCTCACGGAATATGTATGCTGATGCCAAAAAATTTAGGTCCTGCGGGAGTAGACTACCTTGCCAAGGTCCTCAACCTTTCTATGGCCACTATCATCGTTCCGGACATCTGGAAAATGGGTAGCGGGGCCCCACTGCTTAAACCGGTGAAACCGTCCCACAAGGGGCGGTAACGCTCCCTTCCCTGGTCGGTGTAAGACACTGGAGGCCTTGCTACTCCCGTACTTCACCTACCACCTCACCCCAGCGAAACATCGTTTTCGTAGAGTGCACAGCACAACAACAGCACTTAACGCCATAAGCACTCGTGGCCTAAACCGCAACCGCCCCTGTGAGAGAACAGTGCTAGTAGCGTGGGACTTGGTCAATTGCGTTTGACACCGTCAGTCAATTCACGCTACTAGAAACCATTGAGGCTTCCAGTCGTCCGTAATTTTTAGAGACAAAACCAGCAAACGAAGGAAAACCAAAAAGGGGTTCCAAAGGATGATGTCTTTTCCACACTACTGTTTAATTTTTACATATTAAAGCTCGCCAACCACCAGGAAAGTCACGATTGTATCTTATGCTGACGGCTGCTCGAGAATATCGTCTGGGATTGGAATTGATGACTTGTGCTCGAAAGCAAACGGTTACCTCTCCGAACTTTATCGCTTCTTCACTCTCCCTTACGAAATCCTCGCAACCCTCTTTACCACCCGAACGAAAGAGACCAGACTGTAGCTGGGTATTCACCTCGATGGCGAACCAATTCTTTCGGTGTATAATCCGAAGATCCTCCCCTTCATGGCGCATATAACCGCAATTGTCAATCGTGTCCAGATCCGCAACAAAGTCCTCAAATCGCTAGCCGGCAGCGCCTGGGGCAAAGACAAAGAAACGTTGTTGGCAACATACAAGGAAATTTGTCGGCCGGTTCTGAACTATGCAGCGGTCGTGTAGTCGATAGATTCTGGCAGGACACAGTGGCTAAAACTACAGACATGACAAAACACGGCACTCTGATCCACGACTGGATGCATTCTTATGGCGCCTCAACAACACCACACGACGAGGCCCAGATGCTTCCTATCAAGAAGTATAACACAATTTTCTGCAAGCAGTTTGTAGGAGAGGAATATTAATATTTGAAGAATTATTGTACTTCTTGTATATTTCGTAATACCATTATTTGGGAGATGGGCGTGGTAGCTTCCCGATTTTGCCAAATTTCGTTGAGATATCACAATAATTTTTGCTCGAGTTATCGTGTAACGGACAAAGAGACATGTCTTAATCAACTTGGCCTTTCATTTTCAGCATTTTGGTATACAGTGGTGTCCACATAATTAGGGACACTACTTCTTTACAAGTTTTTACAATTTTATTAACCGTCTTCTTTTTCTTTATTTTTTGTTTTTTCAAAAATATAGTACCATACTACAAATAGCCGAATTTCAAAAAATTACCACCAAATTTCAAACTTTTTAATCAGAATTTCTGGAACAAATTCGGAAATATTGTGCAAGTTTCAAGCGGCTAAGGATTCGGATTAATTTTTGGCTTGTTTTTTTTCTGTTTGCTGACGGTGTTACGCGTTTTCTTACGTACAAAGTATCAGTATGTTTGAGAATTTATTTTTTCCCATAGGAACAAATGAGCAACACCGTCGGCAAAAAAAAAAAAAAATGCCAAAAATCAACGGCCATTCCTAGCTACTTCAAACTTGCCCTTTGCTATACTAAAACTTAATGGGCTACAAAACTGCATACCTAAAACTTGTGATTGTGCATTTATATTGTCACACAAATAGAGAATCCTACAGTTTAACGCCGCCGCCGCCGAACGGCAGATGTCTTTTATGAGAGGCTTTTTCATTCCTAAAATGACAATACTTACACTCGAATGTCTATAATAATTTTCCAAAATCACCGCTCACTTCTCGCCCTTCCAAACGCAACCACATGTACATACATACATACATTCAAATTGTGTGTTACGGCATGTAAAACAATACTCAAATATTTTTAGTGGCTTCCTTCAAACATTCTTTCATGCTTTGCAGTGACTTCCGTTGAACAAGGCCAACAACCGGCCAACTTACCAACCGGCCAACTTACCAACCATCGGACAGCAAGTGGTGGGGAAATGCCGCGCCACAGTTGTTTTGTTTACCTTCACTGATATCTACATACAAACAATTTTGGCTGTAATGGACAAGGCGATAACTCAACCGTTTGTCTTGCCACACCGCAGACACAATAAAGTCAATTGTGTTAGTTTTAATTCTTAACGGTGTTTTCTTTGTTTTCTTACATTTCATTTTGAACTGTTGTGCGCAACTTGAAATCCTCCTTTGGTGTTGGTGCCACAAAGCTTTCGTCCTTTGCAGTTAGTGTATTTTGGTTGGCGCTTTGAAACGGCTGGGCGTATTTTCTATGTGCCTTGCGTGCGTATGTGCATAATTGTGGAGGTGTGTGTGTGTGATAAAAGTCAATTGGTGGTAAATAGTCACGAAAGCTGGGCAATCAATTTTATGTGCAGAAATACGTTGTCTGTCGAATTAATTACAAATATGTGAGCCAATATAATTCACGGTAAGATCTATTTAATCTATTTAGTTATGCAATCAATCAATTGTTTATAAATGTATTACATGCCGTTGGAATCTTTGCGTGAAAAGAATGCGTATGTGTTTTTTGTCCAGTAGGGGGAAGCATCGAAAGCCATCGTGCGAAAGTTTAATATGCTAAACCTAACCTTCCCACCACAACTCATTCCTACAATTAATTCCCCTCAGTAGACGGTAATGTTGTCTAAGTGTCGTAGTACGGTCATAATTGTAGCTGAAGCTTCGCAGGCAGTCTTTAACTTATCAGGGGACACATTTTTGCCGTTAACCTACTTTCCAGAAACGTCTCAAGGCGGGGGCATACGAACATTACTGAAAACGGACTAATGCCGTGTCCAAAATAGACCCTAACATTACCGTTCCTACAAACGATCTGCGTTAGGTGGAAATTGAGGTCCCATGTTTTCTATCCATCCGCTTTTCAATAATTGGTATGACCTTGTAAGTTCATTGACTTTCGGATGAAGTTGTTGGTAATTAAAATCGCTACACAAAGATTTGTAGAACGAAAGTCCACTCTAATAAAAATCCATTAAATAACAGTAATATCGAGCCCTGATTTCGATTTTATCGTAAGTGGCAAAAGGCAAAAATTTTACAGGAGAACGTTTTTTAATTATACCTGAACTCTATGACTCTTTTCTGTGTATGGCTCTTCCTCCCTTTAAAACTGCATATTTGTATGTATCTATTGTCTTATCATTCTAAAGCTCAGCGAACCTTCAAATGATATCTCCGTTTCGTCCATTCGAAAAAAGCCACTTTTAATTATAATTAGATATATCTTTGTACAATATACATATACATATATGTGTGTATGTAAATATATCATAAAACGCTGATAAAAGTTTTAGGTAAATATAATTTATTGAGATTTATCTATGTCAGTATCATCGCGTTAGCACGCAGGTTTAAGATTATGCAAGCCTCAGATTTGTGGACTTATTCAAGGCATAACACATAAACAACCAAAAAAATAAACATAAAAAACAAAACTTGTAAGTACTATACTTGACTTTCATGGATCCCATTTCGTGGAGCTCAACGAGCTTCATATGTTCTTTTAGTTGGGCACCCATCTTTTTTGGATCATCTCAGTTTAGTAACGTATTAATATGTTTTGCATATAAATAACGGCACTAACTTGTTATGGGCAGCCTATTCTTTCTGGGCACTGTCTGAGTATATGAGTTTTCATGACGCCAAATTGTCTCGAGGTAAGCTTTCAAACTAGGGAGTTTATTTAAAAACTACTTTTCGCGACCCAGCCTAGTGAGTCGGGACTTTTTAACTTGAAATTGTTGGAGAGTTCCACCCACACAAAATCCTATTTAGGAACATTGAAATCCCAATAACAATACCCAATTGTTTGTTTAACCATTTTTTAACATCAACTATTTTTTATAGGTCCCTAAAAACCGCTAAAAATGCAATTAGGGGACAATTTTATTGTCAACACAATTGTCGACAATATTCTATATTATTTATCACTGTCGTTTTCCAAAAAATTTCACAGTTGTCAACAAACGTGTATGAAACAGGAAAAGTGTCGCCGACAATTCTGGCAGTGAAATTTTATAGAAAAATCGGCAATTGTCGCACTTCTCACTTATATGAAATAAGCCCCTGGAATCGATTTTGTGTTTTGTCTTAGCTATTTTCGAACAATTATACTTTAGTTAATAATTATCTAAAAATTAACAAATATATATTTTAATTAACGTAGTTAAAATATCAATTAATTAGAAAAATATTAGTTTCTTACTAATTCGGTTACATACTTACTAAATATGTTGCAGCAATTTTTAAAATTATAAAGGGTGGTCCATAAAGTCCTATTTTAATAATATGCTATTTTGACGTTGAGCTCTTTCCCACTGAAAAACTTGACAGGGAATCAATATCTGAAATGAATCGCTTTACGCTTGAACAACCTGGAAATGTTTGCTTTAGAGCAGCTCGAAATTAACCACGATTTTGCTCCAAAAATCATCTTTTCTGGCAGAGCGCATTTTTTTCTCGGCGGCCATGTTAAGAAGCCAAACTCCCGCATCTGGGGATCGAAAAACCAGCAGGTGTTCGTCGAGCTGCCAATGCATCGAGATAATGACACTTTGGTGGCGATGTTAAACATCGTGCTGGACACGCGACTCCGGCCAACGGTGAGCCGTACAGAGCCATGATAAACGATTTTTTGTGATAGTAAATTTGAGATATGGACTTGGACGATCTTTGCGTTAAGCAGGGAGGCGCGCCATGTCACACAGCCCATGCTTCAATCGGTATTTTTTGCGTCAAATTCGGTAATCTCGGCGATGTCGACTGGCCACCTCGGAGTGTCGATTTAACGCCGTTGGTCTATTTGTGGGGTGCCGTGAGAAACCGATGTTATGCGCACAATCCAATAATGATTAAGACGAATATGAAGCAAGTCATTTGTGAGATAGGGCCAGAAACCATCACCAAGGTCATTGAAAACTGAATTAACGGGATGTGCTATTGTGAAACCAGCTGAGGCAGCCACATGAGTGAAATCGTGTTCCATAAATAATGGAAATGTTTGCTCTTCCGATTAAAGGAAAAATATATATATATATTTTTTTTTTGATTTGATTTTGACCATCATATGGACCACCCTGTATGCCCATTTTAAGCCCCATTGATGTTTTCATACAATTTAATGAAATCAGCAATGCCGTCCGCGTAATAATCAGGCTGCCGGTCAATGCTGGCGTCCAGCATTTCCTGTTTTGGAGTAGTACCAGTCAGCACGAGCAACGACTGAAAGCCAACATTTAAGCTGAAGCGTATGTCGAGTGTCAATGAATCGCCAACAAAGAGGCAACGTTTTGGATCTTTCAAGTTGTAGATGTCCTTGACTATGTCGCCCAATAACGCCGCCGGTTTGCTGACTATTATAGCGTCTTTGTGCGTAAACCTCTTGATTGTTTCGAGAGTGTCACAAAATCCTGAAAGCAAGAAAATTACAGAGGATTAAGGGATTAAAGATAAAGGGATAAAGAGATTAAGACCTATAAATTAGATGTAAAATTCAAAAAAAAAACAAACCTGGCACTATTAAATCTGCTGTCACCGGCAACAGCCAGTCTGTACCGCCGGTAATGAAGACACAATCTTTATCCTGTAAATAACGGGTAGCTGCGCATATTTGCGCATAATTCAAGTTAATATTAATATCGTATAAGACTGCGCCAACATTTCGTTTCGGTTGTGTCACTTCTGGCAGTTTGTCAACTGCGATTTTGGGTGGTGTGTCCTAAAATAGCCACCAAATGAAATATTCATTGATTATAATTGAGTTATGGTCTGAGTTCGCCCGAAATAAATAAGCAAAACAAAAGCGCCCTTTCTCAGAAAATTTTTCTACGACGCTTTATTTTAGAATTTGATTGAAAAACGGCCTATCTCAGAATTCGGTTCAAAAACGCCATACCTCAGCGCATTTTCAATGAATTTTCGTTTGTGATAGGTCGTTTTTGAACCGAATTCATAGATAGGGCGTTCTAGAAAAGTTTTCTGCGATTGGGCATTTTCAAATTGGCTGCAGAGATAAGTCGATCTTCCACTCTGCCATCGAAATTATGATGGTGTTAATTGGCTATTTTCTTCAATTATCCAAGTTAGCTAAAAACTAGTAATTCCTGTAGTGGAATTCTGACAATCGCTACACTAAATTTTCGTCGCCAAAATTAGTTAAATGAAAAGCAGTGGGCCTAAAAGTATACTGAATGGAAAAGTATTAACTGTAATGTGTTATTAGCCAAATCCGGCCGTAAGGGGAGCGCATGTAATTAGATGTTGCGTGTTGTTAGGCGCGCCTGCTATTCTTTTGGAGATTTTTAGCGACCAAAATTAGCGATAGCAAATGTTGGACTCCAGCTGCTGATTTAGGTAAGCACGCTCTAAAGATGCCGTTGGCTTTATTCGGCTAGTCATTGAAACTTTGGCCTTAGTTGGTCTATGGCCTTATAGCTGACATTAATAAATCCCTTTTAGATGTTTAAAATAGCAAATAGTCGTAACATATAGATACCACTGGAACGATATATTTGTTCCGACCTGCCTAATCGGTAACTTAATCTGAGTTGGGACGAATCTACATTCCAAGTTCATCAGTTATTTTCAATCACCTGTTTGCATGCTTTCTATGCGAACTAGCGGATCTTAGGCCTATTTGGATTTAATATTCGTATGAACTTTATTTAGAGTACCAATTACTTTTGCTCCTCAGAGATCAGCCAGGAGCTCCGTCTGCTCCTTGAAGACCGGGTTTACCCGGACAAATGAAATTTGCCTACATATAGCCTGCCGATGCCACCCAGCCCTGATCTGAAGCGCGCCTAGCCAAATGTCTAATTATCAGGTAACCTTGTGATATTTAGAATTCAGAGTAAAAAAAGCTCAACCAATCTAATTAAACCGAAATTCGCAACACCAAACTTAATTGGCTGTCACCAGAAAGATATTCAGCCTTATTGCGTAAGTCGGAAATTAGGCTTAGGCTTGCGTAAATCGTAAATTAGACTCGACAACATTGGCATTGTCTGCCGTTGTGCTGAAATAATAAACATATATACGAAAATGGTCGAAAATTATGCAGTGCTGCCAAGTTTTTCCGTTTTAATACACTAGTCTAGTCGAAATTTTAGGCAATGACATGAAATTTTCGATACGATTCGACTCTCGAAAAACGACTTGCATTCGACACGACTCTCGCAATGAGGCTGACTAACTCCAGTCTTAAGGGTTGCGAACACTTCAGCTAGAGATGCTGATGCGTATTTTCCAATAGTGCTGCATAACTCAGCATTGCACGATGTAGACATACATAGGCGGCCGCTGTATGATCGCTTTGCTGTAGTGGTTAGAAGAGCGCACTACCATTTCTCAGGGTCTGGGATCGAGTCCAGTTTCCGACTAACATAAAAAAAAGATAAGCATTTTTTTCTAATAGCGATCCATCTTAGGCAGGGAATGGCAAACCCGCGAGTGGGTTTCTGCCATGAAAACAGCTTCTCATAAAAGTGCAATCGTCTTCGGCATCGGCGTAAAACAGTAGGTCCCTCCCCTTCGTATGACAACATCGAGGCACACGCCACAAATCAGAGGAGAAGCTCAAATCTGTTATATTTATTAACTATTATTATTATATAGACACAGGTATGTATCTATGTGCTTACATATAAATATATACGTGTATACGATTATTACGATTATTTATATGTCTGTACGTACCAGTGTGATCACTTCTATGCCCCCATTGCGAATTATTTCATTGGCGGGGTCGCTGCACAATGAAAATACCGGCTGCTTGATGTTGTACTTTTTCAAATAGTATAACATAGACTTGGCTGGTTGTATAAGATCATCCTAGGATGTATAAATACAGAATTTTATCTGACTTTTACCCAAAAATACAACCATTTTCGAATTCAGTATTACCTTTTGAAAATTCTTTACGCCGATTCCAGTAAATTTGTTTACATATTCCTCATCCGATAGCATGCTATTATTTGTCACAAACAGCACCTGCTTACCGTCCGCCTTTAGTGAATTCACAGCGTCACCAGTTCTAGGTAGTGGAGTAGTGATCATCCACATCACGCCATCACAATCACACATCACCACATCAAAAGAGTCGACAAAAGCCTTTTGCTCCTGTGTAGAAAGTTTTAAAATATGACGCGCTTTCTGTGCTGCTGCCATCGTTGCTGGTCGGCGAATCACTACTCCAGCGCATTTTAAGCAAAACGCCGCAAACTAAATATTTTCCATACAATACATATATATATATGTTTATATCTGATTAAGAGCGCACATTGCTTTGAAAAACATATTTACACTCTAAACAATTAGCAATGCACCGAAGAACACTGTTCAACAAAGTAAAATAGTTTGATACGTACAAAGAAAATATATACTTCACTTTATCGCGTAACTGTTAAACTTCCACGCATCTGAAATTAGTAATTTTAATTTTTAAATTTTTTAATTTTATCATTTTAATTTTTCTCCAAAGCCTAAGGGTTATTATTTCTGTGAACTTAAGACTAGTTAGTTATTTAAAGAATTAGGTATAGCAGAAAGAGGTGAGACTGCGTGCTTAAAGAGCTTCTGTGTACCTTAAAAGAGTCACTAGCCTAAAATACCCTCAGATACTCTAATAAGTACTAGAAGAACATTTAAGTGCACGAATCTTTGACTGGCCAAAGCCAAACCATCCCACAGAATGTCCTCAAGGCACTCAGTATTTGTGAGCCTGGAAGAAAGCCAACTGAGATCACCAAATGTTTTCGTTCCCACATAGACTTTTAGGGAAGCTTTCTTGAGCCAGCTAGAGCCGCCTTGAATATTCCCAGGCGGTTCCCTTCATGGGTCACTTCATCCCACTTTACCCTTTTCTTCTTGGAATACCCTATACTAGAACATTAAGGGTTGAGTAAAATATAGAATGCGACTTTTTTCTTTCAAAATAAACCCTTGGCGAAACCTGGTTGTACAGAAGATAATATTTCCATCGAATTCTTCAATAGAGATATAATCTAAATTTTTGTTAAGGGCTCAAGATTTTTACACAAAATTGGTCACAGAGTGGACCAAAGAAGATCGGATCGAACTTATCTACATATATCAAATATCTTGCTAAGCCTGCCTCACTTAAAAGGGGCTTCATGCAGCGATTTTTATAATCGCAAATTAAATTAAGCATCCGGAGCAGAAAGTTTCCTGCGGTCATATGTGGGACTACATGACTCCAGACCTGATCTTCGAGAGCTTTTTAGAAGCGTAAGATAGAAAATGATTCATTTAGCTCGCAATTTATATGTGGTGAACGCTCGAACAGCTGCCATGCATTTGCAAGTGTGTGTCTTTGTATTACGTGCGAGTTCCGAGAAGTTAATATTTTGTTGTAGAGTGTAGAAACTATCTAGTCCCTGCATAGCGTTTGCAGGCTAGAGATGTAAACGTTTCAACGATTTTCGGGACCGAAATTCACGTAGTAATTGTCCGTCAACATACTGAAAAAGCGATTGTACATCCACAAAAATCTTGGTCAAAACTTTATTTCGGTCTTCCACTGGGCATTAAATGGCCTAAAATTTAAACTTTATCTTTAGAAAAAAAGGTTTGGGAGTTTGCTGGCATTAAATGAAGACAAGCAGTCATCCTCTTGAATGGGCACTCGAGATACCAGTAAGGGTATCATCCGGGACGCCAGTGGGAGCGCCATTATAAATACCATTAGGGGTACGATTGAAGCGCGTGATATCAATAAGGATATCGTCAGGGACATCAGTAGCGGCGTCACTGGATGTATCATTATTTATTTATTTATCTCAGTTTTTAGTGTACAGAAGGTTTTCCTACCGGCTAATTCACATTTGCTCAATTTCGTTTTGATATTGCAAAAAAGTCGGTGTTTCGATATTGCGCTACTAAAATGAGCATCCCTATTATCAGTAGATACTGCTAATAAGCACTTTTCCAATGTAACGAAATGCTCTTCATAATAATCTTTAGTATTTGTTTTGCTTAGCGTGAAGTAATCATATTTGACGATGTGTGGTTTATTTTTCATAAATCCATAAACTCTTTGTTCACTTGTCATTACCACCACTATAAGATGAGTAGGGTAAGCACTGCGACTAGTAGGTCTATTATGCGCCGAGCTTATCACAACACTGAATCCAGCCCCAGAGACTATGAATTTTAGAATGGATGCTGGAGGCAGGTAATATATGTATGTACCCCTAATAAGCTCTTGACTTGACGAAGTCTCGTGATGCTTCGCCAATGCAGTTCCCTCAGTTTGTTGTTTTTCTTCCTGAGCGGCTCCTTTATCGTACTGAGACCCCTCGTATGGTAGGGCTCCGGTCCAGGGGTTGATCGGCCTCTTCATTTCCTTCGACAACCATGTGCCCTGGTACCCATATTAGCTGGATTGTATTGTGCTCAGCAAGGGCATTAAGCTTCTCGATGCACTCCAAGGCCAAAGAGGATTTGACCTCGAAGGATGAGATAGCCATAAGTTCCGCCTGACTATAGCTTGGAATAAGTATCCTCCCACTTCGGTAATCTCAACGAAGGTTAATCTCTGCGCATAGACTGATTGCATAGACTTCCGGTTGGAAGATGCTTGCGAAAGTCCTCAAGGGAACTGTAAGTTCCAGTCTAGGGCCACTCGGCCTGGTAAATTTCTTACAAAAATATTCGGTACTATTATGGTTGTCGACTTGGACACCAATGCCACTTTTTTCATTAAAAGATGGCCCTCTTAGGTCTAACTCCAGCTACTCTGACCAAATGCTTCAAGTTGGTTAAACTTCCGGTCGATCTCAGATAGGAATTCTCTTAGCAGCTAATTCAGACTTGGGTGTCTTTAGGCGATTCCTTTAATACCCAACGGAACAAAAACTAATATTGCAAGGCATTTACCAGCCCTTAATGGTAAAGGTGACTCTTTCCTTCGGATACCCAATAAAAGTTCTGGACGGGACAAGATAAGAACTTAGACATCTTAAATACTGGCATTTATAAGTTTAAAAAAAGGTTGTCATATGTACATACCGACGGATCTTAACTTTGGCTGTCCCATTTAATTGTTTGCGACCTGCTTTTATTTCTTAAATATGACAAATTTCTCCTGAACGAGCTGCATATACGTATGTATGTACCTCCCCAGTTCATTGAAAGGAATACTCTTGGATTTCTCGATTTGGGAGACATCGCTGTTTGTTCCTAAGCTAGTAATAGTAATAGGAGTACAAAATCGACAAATCTCGCTCTCACATGGGGAGTTCCCCCTTCAAGTTCTAGTGGGAAGAAATTCTTATTTATTTATTTCTTAAGGCTGTTGTGACTAATTCGTTTTAGATTAGTTTACATCAAAAAAGAGCAGAGAGAGCTTTTACTCTGCATGCGCCTATGAAAAATTTATAGAAAGCTTAAAAGAGTTTTGCCCGCGGGCAAGGCAGTGCCCATCATCGGTTTACATAAACGTACTTTTGTATGAATTTCCCGACGAAATTGGCATACCACACAAATCATTCCATAGCTTTTCGAACTTTTCGGCATAAGTTACACAATATTGTTTGCACTTTTAATTAACACTTCAGCGTGGTGATAAAGCTTTTTGACATTGAATAGCTCTTCATCATGCCACATTGTCTACCGGTTGTCGGCGGCCGTTAGTTTATAGGCTTTGAAGCTTTTTCGTCGCTATCCTCTCCGAGGGAGTATAAGGTATTCTTATCGGTATGTTCGAGCACTGCGCACTCTTGTTTAAGTTCCAATTCACCAGCTACAATGCACTTGGAGCTCATTCCAGTTAATATCATTGATGTTTACTCAAATTGATATTGATTGCCTGCCGTTGACACTCCAACTTCGGTGTGTTGGTATCGGAGATTGCGGTGGGGAGTTGTCTTGCCGGTAACTACGTTCCCAACCCGCATTTGATAAGATACCTCAGAGATAAAGAATATTAAAAAGTAAGAAAAAATGTACGATTGCGCTGGTTTCAACTTAAAGTTTTAGCAGAAAACTTAATCGAAGCGACAATTTAAAATTCACTTTGCCAACAGAGCAGTAGGAGTGCGGTATTTATATCCAAATTATTCGTAATTACCGTAAATCAAAATTTGAAGAATAAAACAGTATTCAAGTAAATTTGTAGTTGTATGTAATTCTAAGAACTAAAAAGAAGAAAATATTTAAAAACAAAAATGAACGTTTTTCACGAACGTGTGCTAATTGCCGGCGATCTTAACGCCAGCGAGGCCAAAGCTTTGGCGAGTGTAGTGTCTACTTCAAGTTTCACTAATACCACCAGTACTTCCAGCACCAGCAACAACACCAAAGTAATCATCAATCGCAGCAGTGACCACAACATACCCAAGGCAGAGAACACAGAAGACACCAAGCCAACGAAAAACGGTGAGGCGAAAAAGGCAGCGGACATCAACGGACCAAGCGGTAGTCCGCACAGTCCGGTTGCTAGCACCAGCAAAAAAGCGGAATCGTCAACTACACAATCACTATCAGCCAGCAACACCACCCCCACCACCACCACCACCGCCACCAATGCTACCCGAAACAATTTGTGCAACGATTACAGCGAGGATCTGAAAATAATCGGTCATATAAAGAATATCGAGAAGATCAATGAGAAACGGCGGCTATTCCTCAACAACACAATCAGCGAGTATACGATCGATGAAAAAACCGAAACTGAAACCAAAACTCAGTCGGTTAATGGCGCCGAAACGGTGGTCAGCGAAAGCCGTACACATACACGCGAAGAGCAGGAGGAGCATGTTGATGGCAAAAAGGTGGGCTGCCTTAGTGAAACCAATGTCAATGGGCTTTCAAAGACGACAGCTACTACATTTCCGACTGCTAAATACGCTACACTACCGCGTACGCCCGGTTCACCGCCACCCAAGCCGCCTATGCTGAGCCGTACACGCAGCATTGGTATTGGCGATCAGAGATCGTACTCTGCCACATCGGTGCCTTCAACGCCTTCTACACCAACAGCGCCGCCGGGTACAGGAACTGCAACAGCAATCGCTAGCGGTCGGCCGCTTGCACCAATCGCTACACCCACACCATCGGGCACCCTAACACCGACAACACCAATAGCCCGTTCAGGCGACTCGTCGCCAAACACCACTTTGGCCCCTACTTTGATTACCAGCGCTTTGCTGCCCGAACCGATCAAAGTGGCGACCGTACAGCTGAGAGAGGATACAGTGCCAACGTTGCGTCGAGTAGTGGAGCGACCGGTTTCGCTGTCGCCGGAAGCGCCCAAACAGATTTCGGTCAATCACTACGAACGTCTGATTGAGGAACTTAAATGTCCCGGTTGCGCATACCCGATGAAGACGCCAATTTTACTCTGCAAGACTGGACACAGCATATGTCAGCAGTGCACAAGGGTACTCTTACTCTGTCCGCTGTGTAAGGTATGTATGTAGCCTACCAAGCAAGTAGC